ACAAATAGAAAATTTTAATTTTTTATTTAAGTCTAGTATATTATTGTTTCCCATTACTATCTTCTCCTTTTGTGCTTTAGATGGAACCGAACAAGCATAGTTGCTGCAATGAGAAGGGTTTACATTTTACTGAGAACTAATTTTCAAAGTAGTACTAGTTATGCAGTTAATCTGAAACAAAGCTCTTTTAGAAAAAGTAGAAGTTCATTAGTAAATTAGGAAATGTAACTACCTGCCCTTATAGCATGGTAAAGCCTCTCTCTTTATTAATTGGGGGAGGTCTTTGGATTTAACTTTGAATGGAGTTGTTAATCTAATGGTTTGGAAAGTGGAAAGGCTATATCTGGTTGAATAGTTAACCATTTTGACTGGAAAGAAAAAGGAATGCATTGGCCGGAATTGTACTACATACATTCTCCCTTCTTGTTCTATTGGCTATTCACATTCTTCTTTTAAACCCTGATTTTGATTCATATCATTATAACAGATGCAATATATCGACAATCATGCTGGAGATGGACCGAATGCTAAGACCCGGTGGACGTGTATACATCCGTGACTCTCTTGCTGTCATGGATGAACTTCAAGCGATCGGAAATGCCATGGGTTGGCACATCAATTTGCGAGACACATCTGAGGGGCCTCATGCAAGTTATAGACTCATTATTGCTGATAAACGCCTCTTGACTAGTTGAAGCATTGGAAGACTAGATTGTATTTTACAGCTCATCTTCCGAAAGGGAAAATGACTAACACCAGCATCACTTAAGATGCCACGAGCTGAACTTACTCGGTTCAAGCGTAATGAGAGAGAAAATTCTTTTGATTGTGTGTAGTGGGTTGGGTAGGGCAAACCTCAGATCAGTGTCAAAACGCAATCTGAATATTGAGGATTCTGAGTTGGTACTTGACACTACTATAGAGAATCCCCCACCTGTTTTCCTTGTGAAAAAAAAAATCAGAGTGCGAGTGAGTTTAGATTATGTTTTACACAAGAGTTTCAATATTTTGTTTTTTAAATTATTTGTGTTGCTGTACATAATGGGCATATCAATATCCATTCTGATTTATCATTGTTTATTATTTACATGGTTCTATTCAATTATGATCCGTTCTTTCCGTCGAGCCATTAAGAATTTCTTCAATATACACTTGAAATAATTGATCTCTTTGGTGAAAATGAACATATCAGTTTATGAAAGGGTAAAATTCATAAGTATTTAATTTGTTAATGCTGGTAAAAGTAATTTCTAAATGGCATCTTTAGAGAGATCAAAGAAACTCATAAATGCCCTATATTTAGTAATTCTCATTTTTAAGGATTAGGGGGAAGCCAACGGTCAATAACAAAGAATCGATCACCTTGCATACTTGAAAGGTTTCTGGAAGGGCATCAATCCAATTGAACTACATTTTCTTACTTTTCAATCAAAAACCAGGCAATGTAAATCTGAATGCAGAAACACAAATCACACTGGTCTATCAGATCTTGGTCTCCATATTTGCTGCCGTTGATCTTCGTATGTCTGCAGAGGAGGTTTTTTAAAGGTTGCCCTGTTGGGATGGCTTTTTGGGTTCATAGTCTGAAATTGAGGTTGCACTTGTGAGGAACCTTTTGGCTTCACCGTCTGAAATTGAGGTTGCACTTGTGAGGGGCTTTTTGGCTTCACCGTCTGAAATTGAGGTTGCACTTCTGAGGGGCCTTTTGGCTTCACCGTCTGATATTGAGGTTGCACTTGTGAGGGTGAGCGCACCACCCTGTGCACCTGAGGACGAGTTAGTTGTCGGGGACCATTGTTGTTGCTTGGGGTTGGTGAATGTGAACCCTCAGCCCTGAAACGTTGTGGATGAGTTGGTTGGCGGCGCCAGTCTGGTGTTCTTACCATGAGGCTTAACATTTGAGGTCGGACTAGGGTGGCAAGAAGCGAACTGTGATTGGGTGAGATGAGCATGTGGTGGCTCATCTCAAATGTTTCTGATATCCTTGTCAATTCCCTCTTGCTAACAGCCCTAGCAGAATTTTCCGGTTGCTCAAAAGGATCTTCAATCTACCCATGCACCAATTCCAGTAACAAAATCAGTAGTGGTGACAGTAATAAATATCATTATTTCTGAAGAAACGGAGAGAGCATCAGCCGAAAAATATATATATATATGAGAAGTATGAAGAGAGAGAGAGAGATGGAATTACAAATAGGGCATAAGTTTGGGGCAACCATCTCATATTGCTTTTTATGGCTTGCCACTGTCCAGTATAAGTGCAAATTCCTAATTCCGAAGCCTTCAAACTGATGTCAGAAAACTGCAAAATTTATAGAATGACCATCATCAGATTGAATGTTTGATCACAAATTCATGATTATAACAATCTCTGGTTAAAAGCATTAGAAAATACAATTCAAGTTATTTATGAAGGTAATAATACCTTCCCAAGGAATGAAATGAAAAGCTCAGACAAAGAACTTCTGTTTTCTGCCCTCAAATTGTATGATTGAAACCTTCTTATATTAGCAGCACACGTCTCTTCAATACGTCTCTCTGTATCAGCCCTCAAGCCTGCATGTACATAGCACAATCAGATATTTGTTGTCCAAATTAGTCAACTGATTGAAGATCAAAAAATTAATTTTCAGATATATTTTAGGTATCGAACAAATTCTTTTTAGAAGCATTATGGAAGTGTTTTTCCCACACGTAAACAACACTTGGTTTAAAATCAGAGAGAAGTAGAGAACAGTTGACTCACTGCAATATCCAGAAAATATACCTATTTAAAAACAAATCCTATACAGTGATTTCACTTCTTGCTAACCATATGGACCAATTATCAATGCGCACTATCACTCAAGCCACCCCTACTCAAGTACAAAAAGATCTGGCTCAGTGCAAAGCACTTAAAGGATATATCAATTAAGATATTAAATTTATAATCTGGGTCCTCAACAACTAAGAATTTTTATTCTCCAAGTCTTCAAGAAAGGATATTGTTTTTTTTTTGGGTCTGAAGAAAGGCTATTGTTTTGCTTTGCTGCATAGGGGATCTATCTGAAACTTCATTACTTCAAAAAACTAACCAGTACTGCAACTATGAATCCGAAGGGTGAAAGACTGCTCTCATACTTTAGCATGATCCCTTTCAGGAACTATTGAAATAAACACAACCTTCCTTCAGGGTCTATTAGAGCAACTTTCATTCAAACTTCCACAAATTAGATATAATGAGTGGCCAATTAGTAAAGAAAATGAGGTCACCTCTTGAAAGATGAAAAGTACCTTTAAGATCATCAATGAGATTTCCTGGATATATATCTTTAAGGGGTGGAAAAATTGCAGGTGCACATGTCTGAAAGAGAAAATTAAATGAGAAGTATTAAATTAAAATCAGGAACATCTGTTGCAAAGAACTGAATCATATATATTGTAGGAAGCAAGAACAGAAGATTGAAGCAAGTAAAACATTAACTACACACAACAAAATGCTTGGACAAGAGTATATTCAGCCTTTGATCCACCAACACAACCAAAATGAAGAACTAGACAGTATAAATCTGGTAGTGTAGCGTACTATGAAGAAAGCCCAAAAAGGTCACAGAATTTAATACTAATCTACTTCCAGCAAACCAGGTTGATATCAATCATCTTAGATTATGCTGAAGTGCAGCTGAAACAGTCGAAAGAATCCCCTCACAATTCAAACTACTTTTAGAAATGATGATTTAAGATTACCTGAAAATGGAAGACCACAAGCAAAGTGAGAGAGTACGAATTGAAAGTCCCAAATTTTGGATTATTTATGTTGTGTGCTTTTGCCCATTCCTTTACCTACAAAAGCTAGAAGAATATATCAGATACGAACACTTTCCCTTTAGAAAGTAAATTCTAATCTCCAATAACAATGTACCAGTAAAACCATATCGCGGAAGCGTGTATCTATCTCACTGATCCAGAACAAGAGTCTAGACTTCATTTGGCATTTCAGATTATCGATTGAAATATCGCAAGATACATTTCGGAGATTACTTTCAACCTTTAAAATGGGAACTCTTGCATTGGGGATTAATTGGTACCTCCTCCATCCACCTGAAAATGAATGTTCGTTAGAAATTAAATTGGAGATGCTGTAATTAAACAAAATCAAACTCCCCAAATACACATATACACACATACAAACCCACTTATTGTAGCTTTTTGTTAATCAGGGAACCTAATATATAATACAAAATTCGCAGATATGATGTATAAGTCTCTTAATGCCATTTCTATGTATTATTGTCACCAAATGAACCTGTGAATAGCACACAGCTCAATGGCATGTTCAGTATAATATAGTTGTTAATGATCACCCTATATGCTAAATAAGTTAAATACAAAAGAAATATGCCACAGAAAGGTGAAGATAAAGAAAGACTGAAGGTCCCCAGTATGCACCATTTGCTTTGTACTTAGATAAGAGCACATAAATGAAAATTCAAGACCAACTAACATACTTTCTGCCACTACCATGAAATAATTCTCAAGTGTGACAACTTTTTATTAATCGTAAACAAAGGAAAAAACTGACGCATTAAGTTTCCTAATCTTCTCAACAATATATGGTAAGTACTGAGGCCTGGAAAAACAATAATATTGGCATTTAAGAAAGGGAAAACAACAAAGCTACCTTTCTGTCTCATAGCTCTCATAACATCTCCTAGTAAACGTTGTTTCTGCTTTTTCCCATAAGGTGAAACAAATGAACCATTGGAAAACTCAATTGAAACATCCAAGTCTCCCCACCTTGTAAAGAGATCAGACACAAATGACCCAAATGGTTCCACAGTAGCACCTGTTTATATGCCAGTCATAAACCCACAGAGTTACTAAACGTTTGTTAAACAATGGGGAAAGTTATCTCCTTTATATTAGAAGACACGTACGACTAAATAAATAAAATGGCACAAAAATAAATTTGTAGTATTACAGGCACCAAAAATTTCCCAAATGAGGAGACACCAATGGATGGCATCGCAAAATCCTAGTTGGTAGAAGTAAATGTAATCCAAAATGGGACAAAATATTGGCAAATAAACATTGTGACATTAGTTAGTATCAAAAACTTAGAATTTGTGTTTGTATGCTTGTAATATTAAGTTATTAACACAAACAATTCATTGAAGGTCAAAAGCATGTCTCCTTTTGGGCCAATTAGGAACACAGAAGGAATAAAGTGAATCAGGTGTCTCCATATAACTCCTGATTGAATGGGGAGAGAGAGAGAGAGAGATTGAATGGAATTTATAATGAATTAACTGATTCCTGAAGTTAAGAACAATAAAAAGCACTTTTGGTTAACAGATGCATAAATAAAAAACAACAAAAAGTGGAACCATGAAATTGTAACACAAATCACCTCTTAAACTTTCCACAGATTCAACAGCTCCTCGTAACTCATCAATGATTTGCAACCGTGTTGTCCAATCCTCACGCAAAGGTTTGACAACACGTAGTATTTCCTTGAGAGTGTTCTCCAATGTACTTTGCACACTCATTTCACTACTGATTAACATAAGAAAATGACAAAACCTTAGTGCAAAATGGCTTCTAGCACTAACAATATAAGCAGAGTACACGATAGAAGCACTAAATTCCCTGCAAGATTTGCTTCCACCCCTTTTCAGTCAGATGAATGTCATATCAAAAGCAAAATATAACATTCCATCAAACAAATCATAAACGCCCTTTCAAGACAACTAACATAATCTGAATTTCGAGAATGTTGACAGCAATAAAAATTGTATAATCCATATATCATGCTGGAACTACAACACAGGTGCAGCTGTGGAACCATTTGGAATCATTACTGCATATCTTAAATTCGAACATAAAGGACATTGATATATACATGCTTCAGCAAAGGATGCTAAATACTATTTACACTAAGCCTACACAGCCTTAAGTAGCCAATCAGTGTACTTAAAACATATACAAATTACTGAATACAAACAAAAATGTAGTTTCTGGGAAAGCATAAAATCCAATTGAAAAGTAAGTAAAAACCCCCCAACAAATTAAATAAATAAAAATAATAAAAACAATCATCCCAATATCAAACTGTTGACTTATAATCGGAAACATCAACACTGAAAGTATTTACCATCAAGATTGAAGAACGATTATGCAACGGTCTAAATCAACAGCAGCAATTGATTCCCAAGTTTTCTAGGGTTTTGAATACTGATCAGGCACGCATTGCTTTCTATTCTTCTATATTAGCATAAATCATGAAACTTTGTACAATAAATACAAATATATAGGCCGTGAGTTTAAGCTACAGTGTAGAAATGGCCTGCTTTGCTTAGCGAGAAGGTTTTCGTTACCTTTTATTTAGTGCGACTTTTTTTTTTCGTGAGGGCTTCTGATTGGCAGGCGAGGCGGGAAAGATGAGTAGGTTAAAGCATGGTGGGTTTTGCTTTGAATCCGCTGAGTAGACTGTCAGTTCTGATAAATTTGGGAGTGGTGGGAAGATGAGAAATTGTAGACTGTAGAAAAAGAGGAGATAAGTGATAGTAAAAACAAAGCTTGGGAATTTACGGAAAACTTATTTATTTGTTTGTTTATGTGGGGGGCATAAAGTATTTTGGTCAAACTCAAACTAAAGTCGCATGAATTTTTGCATATAGTAGATTTGGTATATTTATAATTTATATGGTCAATTGTGCACGGATGTATCACTAATTACTTATCGTTTTAATTCTTAGTCGTTGATGCATACGAGGTATATATAATTATGGTTTAAAATTATCTGTTAATATTGGGTAATTGACACATATCTCTAATATTTATACCATTTGTGGTCGATGAATGTAGCACCAAAAGTTAGGAGTGGGCATCAATTCCGCCAGAATCAATTAATTGGTATCAAACAGTTTTTATTTTGAGCTTTCGCAAACCGGCTTAAATCAAACCGGACTGTCTAGTTGTATATTTTATTTTACATTTGTAGTACTCTTATTGAATAATAATTACATAATGATGTTGAATATAAAGTTTGATGAAACTTTGAAATTATTGATATTTAAATTTTATATATATATATATAAGTTATTGAACTTTGAAGTTTTACTATATGTTGAATTTTAGAATGATTTGATACGCTAGAAAATTAAAAAATATATAGCAAGTTATGATATTTTTCTTCTTTCATTAGGCTAGCAAAATTGAAAGAAAAAATATGCAAAAGAAAACAAATTAGGCTTAGGCCCAAATCGAACCAAACCATCTTGAATCAATTCAGTTAGTTTTGGTTTCTCTTTTGACTTGTTTGACACAAATTATTTACACCACTTATTTTTTCTTTGTTTTTGCCAGATATACACTATTTCATTTACCCACGACATATTAGTTATGTACCTTTTAGCTAATTAGCTAAATATATCCCATTTACTAAATTAGGTTATTGATATTTCATTACATAGGTTCTTTAACTTGTAATAGACATTCCAATCTTATCTTCATACAAAAGCTAATAGCTAATTAAAAAGGAGCTCTAATAGGTTCAAACATTACATGTGAAATTTGACGAACCACTGAAATGCTGTCTACAAATTAACATTCCTTTTAAAGAAAACATTCATTCGGTGAGCATAGAAATTCTAACCGCACTGTCTTTATGTGAATACCCAAAAAAAAACTATATAGAGGGAGAGGAGGAAGAATCGTATTCGCCCCTCCTCTCTTTCTCTCTCCTCGTTTTTTTTTATAAAAAATTTAGATTAGTTAATAAGTCCACTAGGGCATTTTGAATGAGAAGTCCTTTATGGTGATTTCTTATAAGCTTGCTCATATTGAAGTTCATCATCATCCCTTTCAGGCGTTCTCAAATAAATTCTTCTCCATAACCCGCTACCATGTTTTCTCCATATCTGTTACAGAGGATGTGATGTGTGTGGCCGCAACGATGCTTCTTCAAGTAGTAGTGGTAAGGTTCGTTTAGGCTTATAGGTTGTTTTAGGGCTTATAGTTAATTATGGTGATGTGGGCTAATAGTTTTAATGCGACTTTTGCCTGCTTTAATTTTGTTTTTATCATATTAGTTTATTGTCCTATTAGAATTGATACTTTAGATATCATGTTGATATTTTTGATTGCATCGTTCAAGTTTTTCTTTAATAAAAACAAAAACATCCCCTTTGTATAATAATCCACACGACCCATATTGAATTATTATACAAAAGAAAAATAAATAAAAATTTAATATTATAATAATTAGTACATGGTTTTGCCAAAACCAGCTTGAATAGAAGTTTCCAAGTTATATCATCAATATTCTGACTTTCCTTCCGCGACTGACGTGGTCTTCAACTGTCTGCAGCAATAACATTATAATGGTATTATGGTTGAGTCAAATCCTTAAGGTGCGGAGATCTGATATGCGTTTATTCTTCTATTTTCAACTTATTATTTCATCGTTGCACCTCGTAATATAATATTTATGTATATGGGATATGTCCTCCCTTCAAAATAATAACGTCAAAGATTCATGACAAAATTCTGATCCGTCTTACAAAATTAATATGTAATACATTTATATTTTTCACATTTAATGTGTTACGTGCTAATCACGTGATCAGTTATTACAATAGAACGCTTACATAAGAGTCGTATGAATGAACGTTTTCATTTTTCTTCTTCTGATTATATCATTTAACGAAAAAAGCAAAAAGAGGAAAAAGGTGAATGAGGTGGTCCATATCAATCAAAGTCTCAATTATGCAAAGAACATGGCCATGCCTAGCCATCTCAAGAAAATATCATGCCAACCATGGCCGACCATTGAGGGGCTTTTTTTTTCTTTTCTCTTTTTATATCAAGATAGTTGCACTAACATTTCATGCCATCCTCTCATTTCTTTCAATTTTATGATTCATGTAAATTGACTAAAAACTCACGTTACTCAATAAGCTTGAACCCCAAAAAAAGAGGTTGTGTTAAAGGGCAGAGAGACCCTTTTTATTTCTTCCTTAATTTTGAGGGCACAGTTGGGTCCATGGCCATCAACATCAAGATCTAAATAAATCTAAGCCAGCTCAGAGATGTTGATGCCGCAGGGCCAGCAACAAAGATCAAACGCTACGTGTCCGCAACCCATTGAGTGGGACGATGTGTGTGTGGCCCCACACATTGTTGTCGAGGAATAAAAATCGAGTGGTGGAACCCCCAAAATCTGTCCACTCGGGCCATGGAAAGGGCGCCCACATACCCTTTATCCAACTACGGCCACTCTGCTGACGAAAGAGAACCACAAATTTATCCTCCCACGGCGGCATAGGGTCCCAAAACAACCCAAAGTCTTATCGCCATTGTAATCTTTACATCACTGGACTCAATATTCCCAGCACCAGCTTGAGAGCTTGAATACAACCCAAGAATCTCAAGCATTAGGCCTAATGCTTTACTCTTATGAAATTATTTGAATAAGGAACTCGGTGCATGAATAATTACTCTCAGTAGCGTGAACTATAAACCCGTGTTATTTGAATGCATAACTCGGTGCATGAGTAATTGCTCTAAGTTACTTGAGCTACAAATTCATTGTTATACAGCCATGTGTAACACGTAAGGTTTAGTATTTTGCATTTGCACATGTCATATTTCTACACGTATTGAAGACTAATTTGCGGGTAAATAGGAAAGCATTTCGTTTGGAATGGTGCAAAGTTCAACGGCTTGTTTAATTTTTTCGCCTAATTCCAAAACCAAATGAAAACCAATCATTTAACCAAACTGATTGCATTCCGAACCAAGGGAATCGTACAATTCAAGGAGAAAAACTAATCTATTATACAATTATATTGACTATTTAGGTTGGTATAATATCACATTTCTGCAAACTTCTGCAGTAATGTGAATATTGTAAAACCTTTAAAATAAAAATAAAAATAAAGAAAAAAGGCCCCAAACCACACCCAAAATAAAAAAATAAAAAAAAATTCCTCCAAACTTGTTAATTAATTAAGAGAAAATAAGAGCAGCCTACAACAATCAATTAACAATCAAAAGCCACTCTCTGGTAATTTCCCTCTTCCACTGACTGTTGGCTAGATTAGTATTATATCGTCTTCATGTAATTAAAACGACGCCGGATTTAGCACCTCCCGGGTCTTCTCAAATCCACCACGACAACGCTGACGTTGTCGCTGCTCTGCCTAGCCAAGGCCAACTTAGTCAACAAAATGGAGGCGTCCGAACACGCCTTGTCGGACCTCACTGCCGCGTCAGTTCCAGACGACTCCGAATGCGAGGTCGTCTTCTGCGCGCGCAAGCACATGCGAACGACTCCGCACGCGGTGTCGTTTGATACCACGTCCCAGAGGCCGTCGCTGGCCAGAATCAGACACTCGTCCTCCGCCGACCGATCCATGATCGTCACCTCCGGTTCCGATATCACGTACGGTTTCAGATAGTTGTCGCCAATGGCTCTCGACATGGCCAAAACTCCCAGGACTCTCGCACCGTCCCAGTAGATGACCCGCCCGCCCGCGGCTTCGATCCGAACCAGCTCATCGGGTCGATCTGGCTGCAATAACAAAATAAAATAAGCTCACGTTAGCTACCGTGTGGTGCACGCGCAATCAATTAGTATATTTAGCATCTGAGTCTTTGCCCTAGTCCTAATAAGTTGACGCGCCAAAAACAAAATTAATCATAGCGTTCCGGTTCAAATGAACTCGTGGTCTTGAGATTCAGATCTCCAACAAGTCACGAAAATTCAATTTTTTTATTTATCGGGAAAAGCGAGGGAACTTAAAGCTCACCTTATGATCGGAGGAAAGAGGGACGGCGACGCCGTTGCGGCAAAGCACGGCGCGAGAATCGCCGCAATTAGAGACGATAATTTTATCCGGAGTGACGACAGCAACGACCGCCGTAGATCCAACGGCGTCGCACTGCGGAGTCTGAAGCTCGCACCGGCAATTCGGGCCTTGAGCAACCAGGTTTCCTTCCTGGACCTCATCGTCCATCTTCGCGAAGCTTCGCTCCATCGCGCCCTTCCACTGTATGTACGCGCCTTCCGTTTCGAGTTCTTGCTTCACGATTTCATGCAACCGATCCTTGCACTTCAAGGCCACCTAAAGAAACCAAACAAAATAAGAAGAAAAAAAAAATTAATCGGAAACAAAAAAGTGCGGGAGAATCAGTGAAGTATAGAATTCAGATTAGGATTGGTGGAATTACATGAGAGCAGCCATGGCCGTCGAAAACGCCATAGAAATGGGCTCCATTAGAGTCTGGACCGTCGTTTTGGTAGAACGAAGGGTGAATCGAAACGGCGTCTTCCATGTCTCGTCTTCTCCCACAAACCGAAGTCATACCAAACCGACGGCTCTCCTGCAGTGCCTGCACCTGCACCGCTTCGTTGTCCACACGCACAGACTTAGACTCCTGATGATCTCCACGTGTATTCACAGCTTCAAAATCATCGTCGCCAAAACGCACCGTCGCGTTCAGCTTCAACCCTTCGCTTTCCGAGGAGCTTTCCACTGCTTTTTGTGGCACCGATGACGATGAACGGTACAGATCGATCTTCTGCCGCTTCCGGCCGTTCTCCACCGTCGACGGTTTCACGGCTACGTCAGCTATGTATCTAAGCGGTAGGAGCTCCAATCTCCTACGCCTCGAATTCCTTGGGCTTGCGTCAATCGTAGTCGACGCCTCAGCTTCTCCGACAACACCGCAACAAATTCCAGCCATTGAAATTCAAACAAAAACTCAATCAAACTACAACACAAATCAAAACAAACTCTTCTTCTCTGCACCTCAGACCTGAGAGGAGAAGGAGGGTATGAGGCTACAGAAATATAAGGGATTTTGAGAATAATACCAAGAGAGAAAGGGAGCTCTTAAAATGGCTGTGCACCGAAGCTTTTTCTAAACGAGAAAAAGAGCCACCTCACCACCCTCCACGCACACCCGCAACAATTTCACCTGGGGGCCACAACAGGCCTAATCACGGGCAGCTTGCCCGTCACCATCACGGGCAGGATCCGACATTGTACAGTTGGTATGACGTCGAACTACTGAATACAAAAGCGCCATCTCCACCGTCCATCTCATCTCTCTCTTCCTCATATTTCAACACGTGCCTGGCCTTTTCGACACGTATACGTGGCCTAATTTTGTGATGACACGGTAGGTGTAGGCGGTGTCCTTTTTCTGACACGCATGTGGTCCTCGAACGACCGACCCCTCTCTTATTTTTAATATTTTTTACTATCTAATTTTCTCTCTGTTTTTTTTTTAATCACTGGGTTCGGAGTATTCACCACGTGGCGGCATCCCAGAATACGATATTCGGGTTTTGTTGCCTCCCCCACACGCATTACTGCGAGTATAACAATACCATCAGCTTCCGGAAGCCTATAAGGGAGGGGTCGTATCATCGTCAATTTTGCTTTTTGGAGCACCCCACGATGATGCAACATATTATTCCACCCAAAAAAGACATTTTATTTTATTTTAATGATATTTAGTTAAAATTTATGATTTTTTTTTTCTATTTCCTAATACGGTATTGCATAAATTCACTCTTAGGGCCAGTTTGACATTATTGTACTGTAAAAATAATAGATGTCAGATTTGCTGTGTGAGAAATCAGCTGTGTGAGAAAGCAGTTTGGCTTTTGATAAAAAATTTGTTCAAAGTGTTGTTGGTATTGATTTTACGTATAATCAGAAATTGATTGCCGCATAATCATTAAACTCAGTGTCTCTTTGAAACTGATTCATGCATAATCAGAAAATGAAACCACCTCATTAGTTATTTTCCCTTATAGCTTTCTCCCTCAACAATTTTTAACAATAAGTGATTTTCTTACAATTTACCAAACCAGTTGGGCTTCTCAAATTTTTTTTTAAAATCAATTATCACCCCAAATAAGCAATGTCAAACTAGCACTTAGCCTACATTTATCTTTAAGTTTGGAATTCATATAATACGAGTGGATCAATCTAAATATCATTAGGCATTGATCGTACTTCCATTTAAATTTGTAATATACCTCAATTTTGAAATTTTTTTGTTTTTCTAAGAAAAAATTTATATCGAAATCTCTTTCTAGCTGCAAAAGAAAAAAATGTAAGGTGAAATGTAATTTCGTTTGGACTTTACATATCACACATGTTTTTTAGTTTCAAGTAAATAACACCTAATAATGAACATAACACATATTTACAATAATTGAAAAGATAAATATTTTTGTTAAAAGCTTGAAAACAAGGTACAAGTAAACCGATGAGAAATGTTATTTTGTCATTACTTTGGCAAATTATGCATGTTAATAGATTGTGAATCCATATTATTTAATGTATATGAAGTTTATCTTGAATTAAGTTTATTTGACTTGATAAAAATGAATATTTAAAGTGTATATATATTGAATTAAGTTAGAATTCTAACTATACATACTATAATTTGAACTAACAATAATTCACTTATTTGAGCCTCCAAAAATGGTTAAAAAGGCTATTGGAAATACTCGAAGGACGATAGAGGCTTATTTTATTGGGATGCATAAATCAATAGTCAATCAATCTGATTTTATTTTTTTTTTCCTTCATCATGCAATTGATATTGAATTACCAATTGCTTTTAGATTAAAAAAGAAAAAAAGAAAAAAAGAAGAAGGGTTGTAGTGCCCGTCTCAAAAACGTGAGGCAGCGTAGGGACGTAAAGGTAATATTAATCCAACAGCCGGTGAGCAGGTGCCACGTGAAAGAGCGTGGGGGTGTGAGCTGTCAAGCAATGAGTTCCTTCCGACTAGTTCCCACATGTGGTGACCCACCCACTAGATGCATTGCCACGTAAGGGTCAATAACTCAGTCACTGTCCCTCCCTCTCTCTCTGACTAAAACTCAACTCAACCTCAACGCCCCTCTCTCTGACCACGGTTCACCACCTTACCCATAATGGTCATTCGTCACAGGTTAGGTCTCAATTCTCAAATTTTCAATTTCCAACTTTTTTTAAATATTTTTTTTAATACAAGTCATATTGAGGTAAGAGATTGAATCTAAAATCTTAGTTATATGGTATTAAGTATTAACCACTTAAGTTATAAGTTCATCATAACTTTTTATATATAATATATTTAAACTTTATTTTTTTTTATGCTGACGTTTTGATATTATTATTGTGTGAATGTTATGTATTTTTCCCAACCCCTCTTTGTTTTTTTCATAGTTTATAATGATGTCCGCACGATAATAACGTCACTTATATATTAATATAAGTGATAATCTAAATAACTTTAAATTAATATAAGAGCATATCAAAAGGATATGTCAAATTGCCACGTGACATTAAATGACAAAAATTAAAAGTTAAAGTTACTCCAATTATTTTGTGATAAAACCTCAAACTTAGTGGCATTATATGTGGTTAAGTTGGAAATAATATCGACATTGTTAGTAATGAATTGTTGATCCGTCTCTTTGTCAACTAGTTTGGCATCATTGTTTGGCCTCATTGGTGTTTATGGTGAAGAACATAAGGGAGGCTCTTGTACCATAAGGAAATTGAGGTTCCTGAAAACCAATTAGTAATGAGGGGAGTAACTCAACTTCTTATAAGCCATTACACAAGGTTTTCAAACTTTTCAATGTGAGATTTTTTACCTTCACATTCTCACAAATCGAGTAGTCAAATTCTACATGAATTTGAAGATTAAAAGAAATATGTCAAAATAGCATCTCAAAAAGCTTGATGTCACATATATTATAATCTTTTTTCAGCCATAAATCACATTATCATTTACTTACTTTTAATATGTTATGCATAATATGAATCTAATTTACTTTTTAAAATGTAATATTTAATATTTTTGGGTGAAAATCAATTTTTATTAAATATTAAATTATACATAAATTATCAAATCAAATTCAACATTTTGTATTTCACATCTCCAACCCCAACTAACTTACGAGTAGGAGGAGACTTAAATTTGGATGCGGAAGGGTATTGACCTAAATCAATTATGGGCTTTTATATTAAAATATTAAATATGAAATATTACTTAATTCCGTCGAAACTTGGTAAGCTGCAACACGTATTACGATAACAACACGTATCCAACTTTCCTAATTCCCAAAATACCCATCACCACGACATCTCCAAAGAAAAAAAGTTCTTTGATGTTTGGGAGACGTGGAGGGTTGTGTTGGTGTGGGGTGACACGTAGAAGCCCACACACCCTTTTCACCACGTCACTCTTGCCTTGAAATTCAGAGGTATTTTCCTGTAGAGGTATGTTTCCTTTCATTTTTAATTTAATTTAATTTAATTTAATTTAATTTTCTTTTTCTTTTTCAATGTTTGCACCAGAAAGAAATATCAGTTTTCTGTGTGCCTGCCTCTTTTCTCCCACTTATTAGATATTTTCTGTGTGCCTTTGGTTTTCTCACCTACCAAACAGACTATGAGAGAACCAAACAAAGGGTACAAGTAAAACGTGACCCAACATAGGACCACAATTTTTGTTCAAAAGTTTCTCACAAGGAAATGATGCCGAGTTCAGCTTAATAAGTGGTAAAACACTGGCTGAGCATCTGGGAGAGGTCAGAAAAATACATGAAAAAATGACAAACTAAAGACAATTGTATACCATAAAAACATAACAGAACATGGGCGTAAGAACGTGAGAGACAGGGGCTCAAAAATCAATATGGCCGCCTAATGGGGTTAAAACTGTTCACAGTCATTCCTCCATCAACAGAAATAATCTGTCCAGTGATGTAAGAAGCAGCAGGTAGGCAGAGGAAGGCTACCAGAGATGAGACCTCCTCAGGTTCTGCGACACGATCAATAGGGGTACGTGAGGTTATCTCTTCCAAAAATTCCTTGTTACCCAACAACTGAAAAGCAGCAATGAAGATCACCAATCAGATCAATTGAAAATCAACATCATCACCCATCAATTTGAATACTTTCATCAGCAAACCCAAATTTTGTTTCATTCACATAAAATACAAACTGCATTTAATTATTGAGATATGCAAAAAAAATATTCTCCATGAAGTTGAGTATAGATTAAGATTAAAAGATGTTGTTGAACTAGAATACACAGAGATCTATTATCTTAACTTATAAAGGGTGTCTGCCCTATTGGTCATTGACGTTGCCCTACTATCTTAAACTTAATGATTACCCCCAACATAAAGATTGGACTGCCTAAAGGCAAACCATGATTACTAAGTAAGCTTTATTTTCAAAATCACGCACACATTGAAGACTAGTAGTTCTCAATTTGGATAATAAAAAATTTTAAAGGAGGGAAGGCTACCCCATCCCAATGTCAGGGCATATTGAGGACTTACGGAGGGGATCTTAGCCTTTTTATTTTATTTTTATAGAATACCCACCAAGAGGAATTGTCAGCAACGGAATTTGAACTTAGGTCTTGATAGCAAAGAGAACAATTCTTACCAACTCAACCAACCCTCGTTGGCGTAGTTCTCAATTTCAGTATGGTGTATAACTCTAAATTCATCAGAAGTTTCAGAACCTTTGGCACATGTCTACACAAAGGCCTCAGCAATTTCTGCCTCACTAAAATAAGTACTTATCGAATAACACTTGCAAGAAGGGGTGAGTATATTTGAAGATTGGGATATAGGTATAAAGCTCCCACGGTGGGGTCTACAAAATCGTACCTTTGTTCAACCTGAGATATTGTCCGAAGTCCTATAATTGAGCTGAACTGGTACTCGATAAATTCTTTCAGAATGTCTTTTGCCACTGTTCTAAGTTGAACATGACGTAACAAGCATGTCAATTACTCTATCTATATTTTTCGTAATGAAGCTGGACATTATCCAGTCCATAAGATTCTCATTCTGAGCATGAACTAACATATTCACTTTCAATGTAATTCCCATTATAGGGTGAGAAACAAGTCTAAGGTTTTGTGGGTGCATCTTCATGCTGAATAAACATGCTGTAACATACTCCTATGGCAAACACAAAAAAGTTGTAATTGAAGTAATATTGAAACAAATGTATATCACCTAAATGATCACAAGAAGGAAAGAGTATTACATGTCCCACAAGTGAGGTTCTGGTATACCAAGGGCAAACAGAATTGCTCCTGATATTGTCTTTTGCCCATTCACAAGCCAGGTTTTTTGTAAGCTGATTAATTGCAGCTGAAAATGGAGAAGAGGAGACAACAAAAGAGAATTTAGCTTTTGCCTTTTCACACTCATCGAATTTAATAGATCATATGGATTATGGAGCAAAATAAGACACGCCATAGCAGAGCAACAGCTCACCTTTACTTGCTGCATAAATGGTCCCAGAGCCTATGCCCACCAAGCCAGCAACAGAGGATATAAACACAATGCTTCCTGCTCCAGATGCTCTCAAAAGAGGATGTGCAAGTTGGGAAAGATGGTATGTGGATTCTAAGTTGGTAGCCATGACTATTGAATATTCTTCAGAAGTGTACTCAGTAGTTGGCTTCCTGATGTTTGTCCCAACATTGTTTACCTACGCCCACAATCACATTCAATGTAACCCTTTTTCTTCCTCATAAAAAGACAATCTTTAATTCGAGAATTGAAGTCATAACCACAACACATTTCTACTTGGGCTATGAAACATTAAAAAGTTCTCCTATGTGACATGTATACAAGCAGCCAGAGCACAAAATAAACAGACGGTTACTTACAAGTATGTTGAGCTTGCCATTGAAAGAAGAAGCCACTTGCTGCACGAGCTTTTCTCTCTCGGTTTTAGACGAGGCATCACAAACAGACCCAGTGACCAGAAAGCCCTTAGCCTCCCATTCCTTTAGGCACTTGTGAAGTTCCGCTTCGTTCCGAGAACAGGTGTGCACAGCCGCACCAAACCCAGCTAGCTCTTCCACCACGGCATACCTGAATTGAAAAAAGAGCGATGAATCGAAATCAATATAATTAATTTCAACAAAAAAACTCAGTTTTAAAAGAAGCCCATGAGACAATTTGATGAATTTTGTGTGTGTGAGAGAGAGAGAGAGAGAGAGAGAGATACCCAATTCCACGAGTGCCACCGGTGACGAGGGCAGTCATTCCTTTGAGAGACCATCTGGAGTTTGGGAGGCTGCTCTCTGCCTTGGCCATTTTCGCGGTTTACAAGCAACTTCACTCAACCGGTAACCGATCGCAAGTTGCCAATAGCCATCAGCCACTCTAAAGAATATAAGATTATAATAATACAAAAAATGATGTGGCACAAATATCATCAAAGCTTTTCATACCAAAGAGAGAAGGTTGACAAATTGTACGGCATTATGTGAGGTCCTTCAAATATCAATAATTCAAGGAAAAAACTATTTGTGTTTATAAATGGGTTTTGAGTGTGTGTAATGATGAGTTTTGGGTGTTGTATTTTTTTATAATTTCAGCCCTCATTTTGGGTGTTTTAGTGAAACCCTCAAAAAACTATTTGTAGTTGCCCATTTGGCTTTTTTTTTTCCTTTTCTTTTTGGTGTTTTGGTTTCCATGCATCACTTGGTTAGAGACTCTCACCGTAAAATACATATGCAAATCTAGCTTGAGCAAACATTTTTGTTGATAAATTCCAATTTCTTATTGCCTCCCAACCATGTAACCTAAAGTACAATGCATTCTGCTAACGAGATCTAGTCCAGTGAGAAAATGCCTTAACTTGCAGATTAATGATCTCAAGTTTGAACCCCAATAACACCGTAGTGGTGTGTGTGAGAAACCACCAACCAGTTAGACAATTGTTTGTACTAAAAAAAAGTATAGTGCATTCTGGTCAGCCTAAATGCCTTACGTAACAAGAACAAAGATTGCAAGCTCTATGGGCCACAATGATTATACGTACAATTGAGATAGGGCCAGCTAACTAGGGTGTTTGGCCCAAATCAAGCTTTTGCAAAATCTAGCAAAACCCAATAAGCCCATTTATGAACATACTATCCAATTTTGTCAAAAAAGCTCTCCCACATCGAGCTCAAACCAACCCCCAATGTAACTAACAGAGTTCTACAATATCTCCTCATTCCCTTGTAATTTCCTGTTACAAATTAAAGAAACAGATCACAGACACAGACCACATCTGTCGTGTCCATGTCCATGTGCGTTTCTGGCTCTCCTTCAACTGCACCTTAAATTAACCTCATCACTCTCAGACTGAAAAAAGGAAAATACCAAAACAAAAACAGCTACTCTTAATATTCAGATCTCGATAAATGTTACAAAAGGTCAAAAAACCAGACCAACCAAACTACTTCAACTGCCAGAAACCAGACCAGACACTGCCCCAATTATGGTGGTCTCCTTTTTAACCCTTTCTTACACAAAAACAGGTACCTCATCGAAACCAAATAAGTAAAAGCAAACTTCATACCCCCTTTTACCCATTACCCCTCCTCGGAAAATATGTTCATATATATTAAAGTGTACATGGAAAGAGTCTTACATTTCCATCACCCAAAAATGGAAAAAATATTGTTGGGGTAACATAAATTCCCTCCAGATCTCTGCCAAGAACATTAAGTCAAAAGCCAGCGATGCTTCATCATCAATTTGCCTTATAAAGAAAAAGTTGAAATAAAACACAGTTGATATTCCTAGAGACATACCCGTGTATTCTGCAGGAAACCATGGGTGTGTTATAATGGTGGCTTTAGTATATTCCAGGGTACCACATTACTCTATCCAGATAGGAGGAGCCTAGCTAGGGTTTTTGAAATGAAAAAAAAACTATATATAGTTCTTCTAGGGTTGGCCATTTGTCGTTGTGGGTTTCAACATGTAGCTAGAATCGTTCCAAAAGTAAAAACAAGGGACGCGTGAATAGTGCCATTGATGTGAGTTTTGTTTCTGTCTGGGATGCCATTTTAATAAAATGGTATTGATTTTACTCTCTCGTGGGCAGGGTTTGTATTAATTTAATTGAATTTGATTCCCATAGGGTTGGTGCTTGGTGGACTATTTTGGAAGATTATAGAGAGAATGAAGGACATAGAATTGAAGAGAAAAACAGAAACAGATCCACACAGAAGGGGGTTAATAGTTAACTTGGTATTTAATTGTATTAATTGATGATCTCTCTTTAGCAATGCATGCACTGTTGAATTCAGTCCTTTGGGATATTGTAGCTGAAGTGACTTTTGATGTCAGTTACTTGTCAGTTCTTTCACCAATTTACAACCTCACAGATACAGTTAAGTTTCCACCCCTTACCTCACTTGGCAGGAAGAAGAAAACAAACAAAAAGCGATAAACATGAAAACAAGCACAAAGCAACATCTCTCTCTCTCTCTCTCTCTCTCTCTCTCTCATGATTCAAGTATGAGGACTGGGAGTCAACTAATGGTAACTACTGTGTACCTCTTTGAATAATTTCTTACAACCCGCCGAACAGCAAACCTGGTAGATCTGAAAATTGATGGGAATTTCATATGTCTTTGGAACTTCATCTATCTGTCTATCTATAGCTAACAGGTGGAGTGGAATATACATCACACCTCATAAACCCTAATGCAAGACTTTATCATGTTTTCACATCAAGATATATCTATATATAGGAGGAGGAAGTGGCCGAATATTGAGCAGCACCGATTTAGCTTACTCTTTATATATGGATGCTCTCTGTCAATTGACTTCCAGTTTCAAGCATAACATTTTATCATCACATCAATACCATGTATAGTAACTAATAATAAATCAGAACTGATCAAATGAATATCGATTAGACAAACAAAAATAAAAAATAAAGTGCAATCAATTAATGATCTTGACTTGAATTATGTGCACCTCAAGCTGGCATGCTTGATTTCCCTTGAATCATCTAAAGGATGGGTTTGCCAAGAAAGAGATGGAAAAACAGTAAACGCAGAAAGTGATTTCCTTTAAAATTTCTTCTGATTAATTTAAAAAAGCAGTGCAACATAAGACCATGAGCCCATACAATTGCATTGCCAGGCCAAAGTGCTTTCATTTCACCTTGGGAGGGTCACCAAGCCTGAGCTCAAGATCCAAATCTTCCATGGAGGAGCTAACCATAAGCCCAGTCACCTCTGCTTCTGATTGGAGAAAAAATGGAAATGAAGAAATAGCTGCAGTAGCAGTCTTTGGCCTTTTACAACTGATGCTTGCCTCTTCCCCACAAGACCCACCTTGTGATCTGTTTCGGCTAACAACCGAAATATTTAACCCCACAGACAAATCGGTCTTTACATTAAAATCACCATGATCATAACTACCTAGCAGGCACCTAGAATCTTCTTCTTCTCTGGTCATGATATTCTTTTCCAATTGATGATCAGACTTTGAATTATCTGACCAAGATGGAGCAGAAGTAGCAGAATGATGAGAGAGAAAAGCGCGCTCAGCACCTGAGGAATTCTCCTTCTGAATAGAGACTAAAGCTGTGGGAGCCCTAGAAGGTGATGAGAAAGGACATGATATTGAGGAAGTTATAGGTTGATGATGATCATCACGATCATGATCAGATGGTTTAGAAAGCTGATGATGATGATGGGCCTCATGGCTATGGTGGTGATGATGATGGTGAGCAGTATTATTGGGGTTAAGGCATTGCTTCAGTCTGGCTCTGTCTCTCCGGTGGACATTCATGTGACCCCCTAGGGCTTGAGCTGACCTGAATGTTTAGCTAATGATTAGAATTAGTGTGACACGTGTCTGTAATTAGTTATGTTAAACACGTGAAGGTTGTTAGGGGTTGTTAGCTATGCTTAACCATTAAGCAAAGCCTAAGTATAAAGGCTCTACTGTACGTGTATAGTGGTAATGAGAAAAACAGATTTGATTCTCATCATCTTCAGATTTCTCAAAGCTCTCTCTCTCTCCTCTCTCTCTTCTATTTTCCTGAATACTTAGCATGGTATCAAGAGCCATGGTCCGATTTGGGATTTTCTTTGCTTCCGCCGTCTTCTAGATCTCATATGAGTCTTCCTTGCTTCTCTTTGACATTCTTGGATTCTTTTCTTCTCGTTCTCATCCGATTTCTCTGATTCCTCTGATTCTTGGTTTCTTCTGTCATCTGTTTCCTCTGATTCTTCTGTGTTTTCTGCAATTCCTCATCTTCGTCTCTGTTTCTCTGTGTTTTTTTTATGGCGACTTCAACTCTCAAGCTTGATGGCCTCCTTGGCATGCTCACCATTCGTTTGACGGATGGCAACTATCTGAAATGGCGATATCAGATTGAATCTGTGTTGGAAGGTCATGAGCTCTTCGGACATTTCGATGGCTCCAGTGTTGCTCCACCGAAATATGCAATTCTCGATGAGGAAGGCGTCACGTCGATAATCACCGCGGCTTATAAAGACTGGTTGAAGGTTGACAAAGCGTTGCTGAGCTTGTTGATTGCAACGCTTTCCGATGAGGCGATCGAATACGTGATCGGATCTAAGACTGCCTCTGAGGCGTGGATGAATTTGACAGATCGATATGCTACCGTGTCTCGTGCTCGTGTGAATCTCTTGAAAACGGAGCTTCAAACTGCTCAAAAAGGCGCTGATTCTATTGAGAAGTTTTTACTTCGCCTCAAACATGTCCGTGATCAGCTTGCTGTCGCTGGTGTTTCTGTCTCTGACGATGATTTGATGCTTGCTGTGTTGAATGGCCTTTCTTCTGAGTATGACATGATCAAAACTGTGCTTCTTGCTCGTGACACTTCCCTTTCTTTCAAAGATTTCCGCAATCATTTGCTTGCAGCTGAACAAGCCGCTGAGTCTCGTGTACTCTTGCCCCCTTCTCCTATGGTTGGTATGTTCAGCCATTCTTCTACCTATACTGGATCTACCTCTTCTACACCGTCTCCTAATCTCTCTGGTGCTGGTATTCTCCCCACTCCTTCTGTGCCTTCCTTTTCTCCTACTGGTTATATGAGTTCACATACACATGGTCGATCGTCTGGTTCCTTTGGTGGCCGAGGCAGATTTTCTGGTTCTAGGCCTTTTGGTCGTGGTTTTCCGAATAAATTTCAGGGTCCTCCTAAGTCTGGAATTGTTCCAGAATGCCAGATTTGCAGTAAGAGAGGTCACACAGCTGCAAATTGTTTTTCTCGCAATTCTACCTCATCTCAAGGCTCCACCATTATTGAGTGTCAAATTTGTGGCAAGAAGGGCCATGGTGCATTGGATTGCTATCATCGCTCCAACTATGCCTATCAGGGATCTCCTCCTCCGTCCTCT